GATAGTGTGTTAGTAATACATTGAATTATCGTGTGATTGACCTAAATTTATTGAGACTGATTGGCTTAACTTTCCACATTGTTCTGCGCAGACTGCGACACTATTTATATAATTGTACAACAATTGAAGTCAATTATAAATATATAAATATCTTCCATTTGTAATTTGTTTCCGAACACCTTTCAACAATGGGTATTACTGATTTATTAGACCAAGCCCTTCATAGAACTCCACAACCTGAAACATATGAAAAGAAGGTACTATTATTATTCTAATTATTATTATTATTATAATTATAATTATAATTATTATCATTATTAAATAATGTATTACGTAGTTAATTAAATTGTTGAATTAATTGTAATGCTACCTTTAGAAATATTATAAAATTGGTAAAACATTAGGTAAATTATGTATAATTTATATATTTATATATATATTCAGATATATATTGTGAAGTCTTTAAAAATAATATTTTAATAATTTATTCACCTTCCACGTTTATCTTGTTATCTTTAGGTTCGGGGGCATATGGTTCAGTGAAAGAAGCAGAAAAGACAACCACCGGACAAAAATGTGCTGTAAAAGTGATTGAAAAAAAACGTGTTAAAAATTCCGAATCAATGGTTTTAAAGGAGATGAATATTTTAAAAGGATTAGATCATCCAAATGTAGTAAAATTTTATGATTGGTTTGAATCGAGAGATAAATATTATTTGGTATTTGAAATGTATCCTTTTTCTTTAATTATTTCTCTATTATTAAGTATTTAGAGATATAAATTATTTTTATTATATTTCATATTATACTACATATATATATATATTTATTTATTTATTTATTTTAAAAGTGCGACAGGTGGAGAATTATTTGATAGATTAATTGAACGTGGTAAATTTACCGAAGTTGATGCAGTAGGAGTAATAAAATGTGTACTTGAAGGTGTTAAATATCTTCATGATAATCATATCGTTCATAGAGGTAATTACATACATTTTTATTATTAATTATTATTTTTATTATTTTATTAGTTGTTATTTTATTAATTATAATTCTATTAATTGAATTGTTATTCCTTTAAATGATAGATTTGAAACCAGAAAATTTACTTTACAAAGATAAATCAGATAATTCACAACTTGTCATTGCAGATTTTGGGTACAAAAAAAAATTATTTTGAAATTATTCGCAATTAATTATTTAATTTGTTTATTTATTTCTTCAATTAATTAATTAATTAATTATTCAATTCTTTGATTATTTAATTATTTAATTAATTATTTCAATTAATTAAGTATTTCAAAAACAATAACTGAAGATGATAGCTTAATGATGACACATTGTGGTTCTTTTGGTTATGTGGCGCCAGAAGTTCTTAAAAGATTGCCATACACTAAAGCTATTGATTTATGGAGCATTGGGTAAATTATTATTATTATTATTATTATTATTATTATTAATTTTATATTAATTATTATTACTCAAATTATTTAAATTATTTATGTTTTTCAATATTTTATTTTATTTTAGAGTTATCACATATTTTCTGTAAGTAAAAATAAACAACTCTTTTATTATTATTATTAGTAGTATTATTATTATTTATAATTTATTATTTATTTTTACTTATAATTTATAAATTTATTATTATTATTATTTAAAATAAATTTCACAAAGATTATGTGGATATCCTCCATTCAGTAATAATGATAGAACTTTTATGGAACAAGTTACTGCTGGACGTGTAAAATTTGAAGCGAGATTTTGGAAAAATGTTTCAGAAGACGGTATTTATAATATTTATAATATTTATATTTATTATTGATATATTATTTGTCTATTTTTATATTTATTTATATATTATTATTATTATTTATATATTATTTATATTTAATTAGCCAAAAGTTTCATAAAAAATCTTCTCGTTGTGAAACCCGAAAAACGACTTACCGCAGAACAAGCATTACAACATCCTTGGTTCACAGAAAAGAATGCTAAAGATGTTGATTTATATACAGATTTCGTTTCCAATTTCAATGCGAAAAAAACTTTTCGAAAAGCAGTTGATGCCGTACAAGCTGCTAATCGATTAGGAAAAAGTGATAGAACTGATAGTCAAGTTAATAAAGTGATAACAGAAAATGATAATGATAAGTGATAATAGCAGTAATTGGTTGGTTAGAAAAAAAGATTAATTTATCTCTGGATTGTATATATTTTATTTATTTTATTTTATTTTTATTTTTATTTTATTTTATTTTTATTTTTATTTTATTTTATTTTTATTTTTATTTTATTTTATTTTTATTTTTATTTTATTTTATTTTCACCATCACAATAGATTATTGTATTGTATTTATATATTTATTTATATATTTATTCATAGTTTACTGTTTATTTATTTTTTTGATCTAAAATTTATTAAACATTATTATTATATTTTTATATTTTTATATTTTTATTATTAACAAATATATACATGTATACCCGATAATATAAATCTATTGTAAAAATCACTCAATTAAAATGTAAAAATAATAAGAAATTTACAAGTTCTAATTCTTTTATAAATCTTCTAATTTATAAGAAACCATCGAATCAACTCTATGATAATTAGTAGAAAAAGATCGAAGTCGTACTTGTTCAGCATTTTCAATAATGTGAGGATCGGAATCTCCCCATTCAACTGGTACTTCGGCATCTTTATCTGTATATGCTAATATATTAAATGTGCCTACAAAATGAAATATATATATATATATATATTATGAATATATCTATATATATACACATACAAATAAATGTTAACACTTACATTTATCAATCAATGTAGGTAAAAAACTAACACTCGAAGTTATTTGACGAATAATTTCTCGAATTTCTGTTTGAATTTCTTTTATTGTTTTTTCTTTTTTCGTTGTAATTGAAGTATTATTATTGTTATTATTGTTATTATTGCTATATCATAATTTTATAAATAAATATAATTAATAATTAATAATTAATAATAAAATAATAAATAATAAATATAATTAATAATATAATACTAATAATAATAATTACGTTGTAGATGTATTAAAATCATCAATAACTTGTATATCAAATTGCCATCTCTCTAAAGTTTCTCTAGAATCACAATCTATAATTGCCATTACAAGTTTTTGAATCTTTCCTGCCATCAACCAAGCTATAATAAATAATTATTAATTTATTTTTTATTAAATTATTTTTATCTTTATTTAATTAATTAATTTATTAAAAATTACTATTTAATTTATTTATTAACCTTCAACTTGTGGTAAAAGTTTTCTTAAATAAAATATTAATGAATCATCAATTGTCATTACTAATCTAATATCATATTTTTTAACTATTTTAAAATCTTCTGCTGGATAAATTCCTCTTTGATATAAAATGCTTTTAATTTAAATTATTAATAATAATGAATATAATTTTAATAATAATAATAATAAATTATAAATTATAAAGATAATAATAAATACCTATTAATAGCAAATTCTTTAATCCCCACAAAAAATATAATAATAATAATTAATTAATTTAATATCTAACACACATATATACTACACATGTACATTACACATATATACAATATTATGATATATACCAAAAAATTCTATAATAATCTTTGTAGAACCTTTAAGATAAATAGTTGATCGATTTGCAGTTTTAACTCCCATTTTTTAATATTATTTATTTATTTTTCTATTTATTAATATTTGTAGTATTTTGTATCATTCGGTAAAAGAGAAAGATCAAATGATGAAAATGATAAGAAAGTAGAAGAATAGAGGATATGGAAGGAATAAGAATAAAGGAAGAGATGAATCATTGTTTATTTTCGGATCGAATCGCGTTATTTATCTGTTAATAATAAGCGTCTGATTGGTTCTTGATTGTCAGCTGACTGAAATTAAAATTTTAATTACTAATGAAATGTAATGATTAATTATATAAATTATTATTTTTAAAGCTTAAATTTTATTTTACATTTTTACACACGATAAATTTCAAACTTTCATTTAAAATTAAAATTTTACAGAACATAAAGTAAAATAAAATAAAAAAATAAAATAAAACAAAACAAAATAAAAATGAAAATAAGATCATTTCCAAACATAATAATTACTCCTCAAGGTTTTAAAGTCACATGTACAGATGCCAACAATTCAGCATGGCCATCTCTCATTCCTAATAATAATAATAATAATAATGATAAAAATAATAACAATAATAAGTATTATTATTGCACTAATATAAATAATAAAAGTAATGTTTATTATAGAAAAGTTAAAGAAAATGAGCCAAGGGATGTTCTTTATTCTAAAAAACTTGGAGAAGCCTTGGCAAGAGAATTATTAAAATTGAAACAAAATATCGAATTTGGAAATTGTTAGTTTTATTCTATTCTATTCTATTATTTCTGTTAATTATTATTATTATTATCGTTAATATTATTAACAATAATAATATTATTTTTAAAAAAGATCAATTGGCTTGTTTACCACAAGGATATGCACTCTTTGAAAGAATTAGAACAAATGTGAAAGGAGAAATTGTTAGAAGAGATACCTATCTATTTGGTAAATCAATTTAATTACTTGTACCACTATCATCATTATATTTATTATACAGTATATTTATTATTATTATTATTATTATTTATTGTTTAAATCATTAAATAATATATTTTGTATAGGAAATCTCTATTACACAAGATTCAATTCACCTCATGAATTTGAATATCATTTATTATGGTTGGCATCAGATAAATCTATTCCATGTCAATGTAAAAGATGTTTATTGAATAAAACAAATATAGTAAAAACTAGAATAATTTCTTATGATAATAATAATAATAACTACAATAGAAATGATGATGATAATGATGGAAATAGAAATAAAGTAAATAAGGTCAAGTTTGTTTTAAGAAATGAGGATGGATTCAATGTGGACGTTATCACTACATCATCATCATCATCATTGTCACATATACAAAAAAATTTATATAGTAAGAATGAAATTAGAATGAAGGAATCATCAATATCTTTTGAAGAGGAAGAAGAATTAATTAAAGAAGAAGGATCAACTGAAGATGATGATGGTAATGATGATGATGATGATGAGACAATAAGTGAATTGAGGAATAATATTAATAAAATTGATTTAGATGATGTATTGAATTCAAATGATAATAATAATGATTCAATTAATTTAAATGATGATAATGATTCAATTAATTCAAATAATGAAGAAGATTCTTCAAATAATTCAACTGAAGAAGATGAATTAATTATCACAAAATTAAATCAGATTGAACAAAATATATCAAAATCATTAAATATAAATGAATCTATTTTATGTTTAAATATTCTTCCAGAATATACTGATTATGATAAAATTTATAGACCAAATGAAATTGTCTGGGTGGATATTAAATTTATTTTTGGGAATATTAACAATAACAACAATCACAACAATCACAACAACAAGCAATATTTCAACAATAGTAATAAGCAATATTTTAAAATACTTCAATCAAATCAAATAACTCATTGGCCAGCAATAATCAGAACTCAAGAACGAAATGCAAGAAACAAAGTATTATATAAATTAACTATATGTTCAATTAATATTACAAAAACTTTACTTCAAAATTCTATTCTTCCTTGGTTTATTATTAAAAAACCTCCTCTTTTTCATCTTCCTCATCCTCCTCGTCCACATAGTAATGAATTTCGGAATAAACTCAAGAACTTAAACGAATTAAATCAATCATCATCATCTTCTTCATCATTTTCATTGGTAATATCGGAAAAATATCTTTTAACACATTTCAATAATGCATTGGAATTTGTTAATTCAAGAATTTTAATTTGGTTCCCAATGAAATCTTTTTATTTGGTATCTAATAAATTTCGTAATAATGTAAAAAGAAGAAGAAAGTTACCATCTTCTTCACCTAGAAGATTTTCGTCTAGGAATCATCTATTAAACAACAATCAAAGAAATGAAAATGATGATGAATATAATAATATTGAAGAAGAGATTGGATTATCACAACATTACAAAAGTGTAATGTTTAAAACTGAAATTTTATACATGGATGATTTACTTTTATTAAAAACTACTAATAATAACAATATTAATGATCAATCATTATCGGAATCCTTAAAATTATTATTATTTAAAGTTCATTATTTCTTTTATTCGGAAAGAAATAATCGAATTGAAATGGTTGGTGATAAATATAAATATTTTGAAGAAGAAAATAATAATAATAATAATAATGATAATATTAAAAATAGAAAAGATATTTTGGTATTAAAGAAGATTGAAAATTTGGGGAAATTGTCATTAGTTGCATTGAATTTGGTGGAAAGAAGATTTTATAAATGGTATCAATAATAATTAGAAGAAAAAAAAATAAATAATGAAGGAAAAATGAAAAGAGAAATCATGAGAAAATTTAAAGGATAATATTTTCATATTATTAACAAGCGATATTTTAACATACTTAGAAATAATGTTAATAATTTTTTGCAAAATAAATATATTTTTTTTTTTATAAAAAAAAAAGATAACGATAATAATAATATACAGTGTATGATCTATTGCTATTAATAATCAAGTCTGAAAATTCTCGTTTTAAATTTATCGTTCAACACATCTTAAAGAATCATATATTTATTCATCCGAACAAATTCATATTAACGAGAATGCCAAGAATATTTATGACATCTACTTGCTCAACGAGATATTACTGGTGTTGTGTAATGAAAGTAGAAAAAAAAACTTGCTTGAAAATAATTTTATTTTTCGAATGCGAACGAGAAAGGCTTTTACACTCTACGGGACGTCAAACAATATAATACGGAGCCACCAACTACATCTAAAATATAAAATATCTGGATATTTCAGATATTTCGATTTAAATTACAAATGTGTAATATCCATTTTTAAGCCACTCAGTTTCAAGATTATCTTACCGGCTTTGAAAATTTATAAATTGCCTATATACTTTATAAATGTCAAGAAATTCCATTTATTTAATCGAAAAAAAACCAAAATCGAATCAAACTATCACCTTCCATTGTTTTACTTCTAAATTTTCTAGAGGTGCTGCTTTATTAATGCCACTAATTGTTACTTTTTTAAAAAATTTTCAAGGATAGATTAATTATCACCATTATTCTTTCTACATATATTTAAAAGTTTTTTTAACAAAATATAGAAAAAGCTTGGAACAAATGTTGTTTAAATGCCTATATATTATGATACTGATATTAGATTCACAGGTTAAATGAAGAAAAACAGGCAATTTGTTTAATAAGTATGGTTAGGAATATTTGAAAATAGGATGGACAATTTGAAAATATGAACAAATAGGCTGGTATATTTGCAAACAGGACTTCTGGACATTCAAAAATTTGACTCCTTCTATTAATGAAAAGAAATTGATGACAACATAATTTTTAGAAATTTGTTTCAAAAATTTTTGTTGAATTTGATCATTACACCTGTGAATCTAATCTGGTATTATTATATTAATAATGTTAATATTTTTAATATGGAAGATTCATGAATAGGATAATTTGTAAATTAAAATCATATATAAAGATTTATATATAAATGTAATCTTTTAAGTTTAAATTTCCTGAAATGCAAAGTACCCATATTATAATATTTTAAAACTCAAAATAATCTTTAATAACTCAATATTAAGCATGTTCATATTTGAAAATAATTATCAGCAAACCATCACTAATGATCACCACTATATCCAAATTATTTTTCAAAATTCCAAATTTTCAAATTACCATTAAATTACTATAATGTCAAATCCCAAATTCCAAATTATTTTATTATGTCAAAATTAATTTTTAAACAATATGAATAATCACCACATATATACAATACTAAAAGAATTAACTTGTGATCTTAAATCAAGTAAAAATATATAACTTACTACTTTCACAAATTCAAAATTCATATTTTTTGAAAGTTTCTTGAGAAAAACAACAATGACAAGTTGTTAAAGATCTACATAATTACATTTCTAGTCAAACAGTATAATTTATAACTTGAATATAATAGTTAATAGAATTACTGATTTATATAGATATATGATTTTTGAAGGTTTGCATCAAAACTTTTGATTAATTTTAATCATCCAAAATAATATTGTTACTAACTATAATCTAGAAACTTTCATATACAATTCTCTCACTATTGTCCTCCATATTTTCTATTTTTATTGAATACATTATATATATCCAAATTTAAATTCAAAATTTCAAATTTCAAATTACTATTAAATTAGATAGTACAAAATTCCAAATTTCAAATTTCCAATTTTAAATTTCAAATTATTTTATTAATCAAAATAATTTGAATAAACATGTATAGTATTATACTCTCATTTTACATAAAAAAATATAAAGACAAATAACTTGTTATTTTCAAAGGAACAATTTAATAAATTATTTATCATTTCTTTAGTTATATATATTATACTTGTATACAAAATTATTTTGGGACTCCAAAATTGCAATTTCAGAAAAAAAAGTCAAAATAGTTTTTTATAGAAGACAAAATTATTTTACTTAAAACCTGAAATTTTTTGATCATCCAGATTTATTCTTTGATTGAATATATACATAATTGAATATTTTTTTTA